CCGAGTATAAAAAAAGAAGTGGCACAATTGATTGAAAATCATGTTCATGAACAAGGTATTTTTACTATTGCACAAAACATGGACATTCTAATCAAAGTACGTTAAAGTATCTTATTCCAGATTTGTCTTCTCTTCTTGTTTTTTCTTTTTGTTCAATAGGATCCCGAAAAGTATGTCGAAACCATAATTGATATTTATAATAAATACTTACAACCTCTTAATTATGAACCATATTTTAAAGCAGCTTTAGATAAAGTAAAACTCTATTATTTTAAAAATCGAGTTTATAATTGATATTCTATAGGCCTGTTATAAATTTATCAATAATAATGCTGTGACACAAGCATCTCATACATCAAGAAAATCAGCTGAATTATTAGTTCGTTATTGTGATAAAGTTTTGAGAAACAAGTATGGTTCATTCTATTTTAATGTATAATACATTAATAAATTTACTTCTTCTAGAAATAAAAAACGAGACAACACAAATCCTGAAGAAAAATTCTGTCAAATATTAGTACTATTTTTCATAATTTTTTTTGCCTAGTCGAATATATTGTATTTCTAGATAGTATTCACTTATCTTGAAGATAAAGATATTTTTGTAAAAATTTACGGTAAAATATTAGCTAAGCGTTTAATTGACAGATCGAGTATTTATGATCACGAAGAATCACTAGTGTACAAATTTGCGGTAATTCATTTATCTCTCATAAATCTATTTTTGATCTTTAATTTCTTCTTACAGAATATATGCGGTGATACATATACATCGAAATTAAAGCAGATGCTTCTAGATATTCAAACTAGCATTACATTAACCGATAAATACCGAGAAGATTGCAAGTATTGTTGTCCCAAAAGTATTAGTAAAACAATGTTGTAATCAATACGTTTTCAAATTTGTTTTTCAAATTAATTTAGTCTTGTTTTCTGTAATGGTGCTGAATTCAAATTCATGGACATTTTCATCTATTTCAAATGTTATTTTACCAACAGAAGTAAGTATAATTACATATGTATTCATACTAATCTGTTTTCTTCTAGTTGCAAGAAACATTAAATAGTTTTGAAAATTTTTATTGTCATCGTCATAGTCGTCGAAGACTAACTTGGCTCCACCAATATTCTATAGGTGCATTACAAGTAAATTTTCCTGAAAAAAAATATATATTACGAGTAAGCAGTAATTTTTTAGGCAAAAATTCTGATAGATTTTTTTCTAAATTATAAGGTATCAATGTATCAAATGATTGTCTTATTATTATTTAATGAAAAATTGAGTTGGATAATTAAAGAAATACAAGAAAAGACGCAGATTTGCGATGATTTGCTAATCCAAGTTCTCTCTAGTCTATTGGCGAGTAAAATACTATTTGTGGAAGGAATCAATGAAGATTTTCATGAAAGTGATATAACGATAAATCATAAAGTTGTGTTAGCAGAAAATTTCACTAAGTAAAAATAATTAATTTTTAAAATTATATAAAAAGCATCAATTTTCGGCTTGTTTTAGAGAGAAAATTCAAGTGAATTTGAATGTACCAATAAAACTATGTAGTGAACAAGATTTGGAATCTCTTAATGATTCCATTAATCAAGATCGAAAATTGGCTATTCAAGTAAATAAGATAGTGATGTATAGGATTACCCAATTTTAATATTTTTTAGGCAGCGATTGTACGAATTATGAAAGAGAAGAAAAACCAAAAATACTCATTATTAGTTCAGGAGACGATTGAAAAATTGAGCTCATTTTTTAAACCTAATATTTCTTCAATCAAAGTAAAATTACTTAATAATCTCAAACAAAAAATAATTTAATAATATGTATTAATCTTCTAGAAGTGCATTGATTTCTTAATTGATGATGAATATCTTGGACGAGATCCTGTTGACAAAACTCTTTTGCATTACATCTAGCTTACAACAGGCTCATCAACATTAATCAAGAAACTTATTTCCATGGTTGTGTAGGGCACAAGCTGCTTTTCTATTGTTATTATTTATTTCTGGTTTTTATGAATCGTACTTATTTTCTAAGTATGATTTGAAGGAAAATATGAATTAAAAAAAAATTTAATATAAAGTAAAACGTGCAGAAAACTTGTCTATAATACATTCTGCTTTCAAGCGTTTTAGTTCAAGAAATACTAGCTCAGATGTAAGCATACAGTGAGTTCTTATCGTCTATTGTACCTACATCCTTCATCTGTTTATAAAAATAAAAAGAAAAAACACTAGTTAATCCCCACGACAGTATTCCATTGGAATCAGAATATAATTTTCCTCTCAAACTAAATAGCTATGCCTGTTCACTACTGATAACGTTCGACTTGTGTGTTCCTTTTTTCTTACAATCAATATTTTTGAAGAAAATTCAATCATGTTTTTTTTTGTCTATGTGAAATATGATTTTTCTTTTTTTTTTTTGAACATCTTTTTTTCGATATCATATAAATAAAACTAGTATCACAGAACAGATAAACGAAAGAAAAGAAAGAAAAAAAAGACAACATGTTCATCCATAGATTAATTTGACTATTCAGTGAGGTCACTGATTCATTTTGTTCAAGGATAAAAATGAATACAAATCACTAATGAACACATATATATATATATATATATATATGCATAATAATAAGAAACGCATTTGTCAAATCTAACATGAATCAATCTAAAATTAATCTTCTTGATCTACCTAATGAAATATTATTTATTGTTTTAAAAAAGTTAAACAATATGGATGTTTTTTATTCATTATTTGATGTTGATAAACAACGACTTGATGTTCTTTTACAAGAAAGTATTTTTACTAATACTCTCAATTTTGTATTAACAACATTGACTGATGATATTTTATCATTTGCTGATCGAATAATTGATAAATTTTGTATGAATATATTACCAAAAATTCATAATAATGTTAAATCTCTTACTGTTGATTCATTATATATGGAACGTATTCTTCTTACTGGTAATTATCCCAATTTAGCTGAACTTAAATTATTTAATTTTAATGATAAATTTGTTTCACATTATTTTACAAGTACTATTATATAGATAGATTAGATAATATTGTTCTATTTTTTATTTTTTATTTAGTTGAATCATCATTTCGACATATATTTCAACGACAAATAACAGATCTTATTCTTGTATTCAAAGATGATTATAATGAAATTACAATTAAACAGCATACAATAGATATTTATGGATATATTTTAAAATTCTTTGAAAATTTAAAACATTTATCTATTATTCAATC